CGAAAACGATGTGTAGAAGAAGAAAAAAAAAATTTACAGAAGAAAAGAGAGAAATTATATTAAGTATTATTTTAAAATAAAAATTAATATTAAGTTAGAAAACAGTTTGTCTTTATGTTAAAGATAAATGAGTAAAAACTAAGTAGAGAAAGTGTGTCTAGAATCCAAAGTGTCATAAAGTGTAAACTATTTACAATAAAGTGTGCTGGAGTTATTTTTTTGTCTCGTTGTATTGATGAAACATTGAGACCAAATTACCAGCAACAAAAAAGCGAACTTGAGTCATTTATATCCTAACAAGAGATAGTAAAGAGATAATCAAAAGATACAACAAACCACTAGAAAAAGAAATGAAGAGCCTAAACCAAGCGTCGAACCACATAATCGTACCGAATACCGACTTTCTAAAAGGTCATTTGATTCCCCCACTACGCGAAGGTGGAGCTTCTTAGCGCATTACTTTTTTGGCTAGTATAGTCTATTCGGAGCTGAATCTAAGATAGCCGGGGCCTATACGTATAATTTTTATAATATGAAAACCTATATATAAAATAATTATAGAGTAAGAGAAAACTCATATAAAAACTCATGTTTAAGAAAAAAGGCTTTTTTTTGCTGAATTTGTTTAAGAAAAAAATTTCATCAAAAAAAAGGTGCATAAATAATTAATATTGGACACAAAGGAGAATAAACATATATCTAAAAATCAAAAACTTAATTGGTTTTTTTTCCCAGCAATCATCGCCTATGCTCTTCTTTTTCTCAAAGAGAAAATGATAACTCTTGATGAACAAATTTTTCCACATATAATATTACTACTTTGATTAGGATCCACCAAAATATTGTTACCATTTCCTAAACTTTCTCCTTATTTTCAATACTATATAATATTTTTTTAAGTGGGGCCCTTCCTAGATTGGGGACCTATTCAATTGTTTCAAAAAACTTTCCTCAGATGCTCTGAGTCTATTCTAAACTTTGGTTCCTAAGTCTTGCTGGTTGAGCTTCCTTCACATTTATAGAGGCATCCTTTGGTAAATCGCTTGTTGGCTCTTAGGATTCTAGGTTTAGTGTGTGTGTTACGGGATGAATGTGCTTCATTTTGTGCGGTGAGCATTTCATTGAACTCTCTAGCTACTTCTCCTTTCTAGATACCATATTTCATCTTTGCACAATGATTATATGATTATCTTCATAGGTGTAGCTTTTTGTTATAGTAACAATTTGTAGCCCTAAACTTTCATTTTCATAAATGATATTTACATTCTTAGCAACAAAAGAGAGAAAACAAAAAGTCTAAACGAAACAATTCAACTCGAGGTAAACAAATATGATACATTTGTCAATAAATAATTTTCATATCTAACCTTTTAAAAGTAAAATTCGAGCACAAATTAGAGAAAATAGGGGAAAAAAACAAAATGTACGTAGTTCTATTGTTCGCAGGCTTTTTTTTGTTTTACATATGAACTAGATTTTGACCCACGCCAAGCGTGAGATTAAATGATTAAATATACTTTTTAATTGATCTTAGTATTTAAATGTGTATGACAAATCATATGATTTCTAACATTTATAAACTCACAAAAATGATATGCATTGTGCATAAATGTAATTAAGTTAAATTTTGATCAAACATATTTTGATGCCATTAGTTTAATATTTTTATGTGAAAAATTGATCAAAAGATATGAAAATGTTATATATTCCAATATATTTTAAATGTAAATTCATTTTTATTATTCGTGTAGATTATAGATCATGCGATAAATCAGGTTAATTTTAGATTTATATGAATTTGTCAGAAATAATAAACGAAAACAATATATATTTTCCAATAATGAAATATATAAATATTTGTATATATCATATTAATCTAAATATATATATACACAATAAATAATATTGTTACAAATATAATAATAAAAGTTTCTTTAAAAAATAAAAATAAAAATAGATGATAGAGTCTAAATATTACATTTAGTGGGACTTAGATTTGTAAAACATGAATTAATAGGGTTATGTTATAAATCTAATAAGAATATGTAGAAATTTCCACTATAACATATAATTTTAATTGAAATGTTTTTATTGGTTAGTTTAAATGTCATATTCCTTAAAACCCTTATTGATTGACACATAAGATTTTCATCTTTGTGTCTCTTCGGTATCTCCTCAATTAATATATAGAAGATTTATTAAATTAAAAAGATTTTACATAGTCATCTTGAAGTAATTGATAGATAGACATTGGTACATAAGCATGATAACAAAAAGGGGAAGTTGGAAGCATGTACCGTTTTGCGAGAAAATCTGCAAGCTTATTAAACTTTCTTTTTGTCCATCGAATTTGCACTTCAACAAACTCTCTTATTATCTAACATATGTTGTGTTCTAAAAAACAAATTTCAAATTTTATTTAGAAAAGATTATTGTAATTTTATACAACAAATATATGAGTTTCGGTCTATCTCTTTG